GGCAGGGCGGGGGACAGGGTTCGTTTTCACTCTGCTCTTCATATGACATGTCACTTTCCCAGTTAAAAAAAACAAACAAGCAAACCCTGACGTTCTGTTTGTTTTTCTATTTCGCCCGCACAGGACACCGCCTGCCGTCTGTCCGTGACCTCGCCCCTTCCACCTGGGTGTCCCCAGGAGGCCAGACACGCTTACAGTGGTGGAACAGACACACAAATTGACAGATGGACGGACGGTGCACTTTCATTCGAGTTTGCCCTCCAGACCCGCAGGAGCTCAAGAGACGAGTCCACCCAGTGTCTGCGTCTGCCTGCTCCCCACGGGCGTTCCCTGAACCTCAACACAGAGTTGCCAGGCTCACGGAGCCCAGTTTAGACCACGGCCTTCGGGAACGGCCATCGAGTGGCACGGGACTCGGTTCCCGATGCGCCTCTCGCCGGCTTCTCCCTTCCCGAGTGTGTCCGCTCATTGCACAAAGCAAAGTGTTAGTTCTGCCAAAAGCAGGAGTTAGCCTAACTCGTGGGGTATTTCACCGACGGAGGAGGGGAACCACCAGGGAACGACATCGGAGAAGGTGCCAGCAGGAGGGACGGAGCAGCCCCACAGAAGCCCGTCGGAGGCCCCGGGAGAGCAGTCGGAGTCCCGCCAGGACACACGAACTCGGCAGCTCCTCTGGAGGCCGCCGGCGAGGTGGCCGGAGGGCCACCAAGTGCGCAGACGCTCTGACCCGGCACCCGCCCGAGCAGCCCAGCCTCTGTGTCCTTTTCCATCATTTCCTTCGCGCAAGGTGGTGTGAAGAGAGACACCACTGACCCTCAAACTCTCCCGTGATGGACTGTTTTACGGCCACGAGACGCCATAAATGCTACTGAAAGGGTGTAGCGAGACCCAAATGCCACAAGACGCACACTTATAATGGTCAGAATGCCCACGGTGAGCGACATCGCTGGTCCTGCCCCTCCCTCCCCTCCCATCCCCTCCCCCCTCCCCTCCCTCCCCCTCTTCCCCCTCCCCTCCCCTCCCCCTCCCTTCCCCCTCCCTCCCCCTCCCTTCTCCCCCTTCCCCCTCCCTCCCCCTCCCTTCTCCCCCTTCCCCCTCCCTCTCCCCTCCCCTTCCCCCTCCCCCTCCCCTTCACCCCATTCCCCCTCCCCCCTCCCTCCCTTCCCCGCTACCTAAAAAGCTAATGAGAAAATATCCTTGGGTGAGGAGTAACAAACAAACCAAAAAAAAAGGTCAAAATGGTCAGTTTTGCCTTGTGTGTATTTTACCTCAATAAAAATGGTCCTAAGAGGAAAAATCAAACAAACAGCGCATACGCTAAAATCACCCAAACCCCTGAGGGCACTGCAAGGACCGTCCTGGGGAAGTGCAGGACAGGACACGGACGGGACACGGACTGGGCACGGACGGGACACGGACGGGGCATGGAGGGCGCCGGTGTTGCTACGGGCTGCCTCTCCCAAGGCGCCTGAGGCGCGCTGTGGAAAGGGCCATGTCTTCGTGGTCACGGGACCTCCCGAGACAGCGCCTCCTGCAGGGCTCCACGCTGTGCCAGCCAGAGGTGCGAGCACTGTCCCCTCAGTCCACCCAGAGCCACCGGCCCAGACGGCGCGCACTCACCGATGCCCGCGTGCCAGGTGCCGTTCTCGGCCGGCCAGGGCCGCGCCCCGAGAGCTGGGCCATCCTGGTCTGCGCCAGCCCAGCTTCAGGCCTCCACACGCCTTCCTGCCCCTGATGGCTTCCGCCCCTGCTCCCCGTCCCCGCGCTCCAGCCCCCCAGAGGAAGGAGCGCTTCCTGCGCCTTATCAGCCTGCGCCAGGCGGCTGCCAGGCCCTCGGCTCTCGGGGACTTGATGTTTGAGGGTCACAGATCCCCTGAGAATCCACTGCGAACTCCGGACCTTCTCCCCAGGAAGACGAACCCCAATACAAGCAAGCACACAATTTCAGAGAATTCACAAAATCACCCCAAAGCCTACACGGATCAGCTCTCAGGACAACAGTGACAGGAACAGCCTGCGGTCTTGCCCCGGACACACGGCCAGAGGGAGGTTTGCTCTGCCCCCAGACGCCGCTGCTGTTACCGTGTCCCCAGTGTCTCCATCAGCTGTGGCCGTGGCCACTGTGGGCCTCCTGCACCCCCCGCCCTCACCGGGGAAGCAGCTGTCGGGGTTGAACTGTGTCTCCCAAGCAGACCTGCGGGAACTCTCACCCTATCACCTCGGCAGTGGCTGTATTTGGAGATGGGGTCGTTACAGATGTGATCCAGTTAAACACGAGGTCACCAGGGGCCCCGTTTCAGCGCGACTGTGTCCCTACATAAGGACATGTGGCCTGGCCAGCTCGGCTCAGCAGGTGGAGCATCGGCCTGGGGACCGAAGGGTCACGGGTTCGATGTGCGGTCAAGGGCATATACCTGGGTGGCAGGTTCAATGCCTGACCCTGGTCGAGGTCATCCGGGAGGCAACCAACCCTGTGTCTCTCTCACATCGATGTTTCTCCCCCTGCACATCCCTTCCACTCTGTCTGAAATTCAACGGAGAAATATCCTAGTTGAGGATTTGAAACAACAAAGGGGTATGTGGTGCCCTCCCAGGACGCCCGCAAGGGACCAGCCCCAGAAGGAACCGGCGGCATGTGGCCTCCAGCCCCAGCCTCCAGACCTGAGGCCTTTCTGCTGTTTCAGCCCCTGGGGGGACGTGTTACAGCAGCCCTGGCAAACTAACGCAGTCGCTATGGTGACCGTGACCAGGCCGTAGGGACGCACCTGCTTCCCTTGCTGACGTAGGAAAAGCTCAGCTGGAACCAAGCCCGCAGCCAAGGCCTTCCGGCCACTGGACGGAGCACCGGCCACCCTGCCTCCAGGCCCTCTGTCCGACCTGTCCAAGGTGCGAAACCAACTCCCGGGGCAGGCAGGGCCGGTCAGCTTCCTCAGCCTCTGTCCTCACCCTGCCTCTTCCTGACTCCAAACCCACAGCCTCCCCACAACGCACAGCCACAGGTCCGAAGCTGGACTCTTGATTCTCCCTCCGCCAACCCTGCCTCTTCCCATCGTCCCCTCCTTGGCAAGTGGCACCCCCTCATTCCAGAGCCCAGACCAAGCCCCAGGCGTCATGCCCAGGCCTCTTTGCTCACCCACACCCCGTCCACCAGCAAGACCTGGAGCACCCCCAGAGCAAGGCCCCGGGCCGTGTGTCTCCACCTCCACCAGCCCCGTGAGGTGAGCACCTGCCCACGGAACCACCGAGACAGACACCGCGTGCACCGGCTGCGCAGAGCACCAGGGGGGCACCTGCGTCTGGCCGCACCCGCCTCAGCCTCCTGTCGGCTCCCTGCCCTGGAAGCCCGTGGGCCACAGACTGGGAGCCTAGTCCCCTGCCGGGGTCACCTGTGAACAAACCAAGTCGCCCCAGTTCTAACCAAGCTATGGTTTGAGGAGGTTAAGGATATCACCTGCCTAACTGTCCCTCTTCAAATGTGCAGGAACTGGCGACCCCCACACACGGCCCTGGACTGAAACCCTCCTGAAGTGACCTTAGAAGTAACCAAAGTGGACTCGGGCCTGTGACCGTTTTCACGGATCCTTTGGAAAACAGGTTTTTACATTAGAACAGCCACAGCTGGCCGGGCCAGCGGATGCGGAAGCTGGGGCACGTGGGGGGGGGGGTCCCACCGGGTCCCTCCGACTAGGAGCCACAGTGGGAACCCCAGGAATTCCATCTTTGAAAAGCCACACAGAGCAAACGAAACCACGTCCAGGGGGAAATGTACGTACAAACCTGTGTTACTTGTAACCTTACAAAGAACCAGAAACCACCAGCTGCCCAATCAGCAGGGAGAGGCCGGGAGAACCTCAGGACATCTCCACAGCACACGCGCAGCCCGAGATGAGGTCTGTGCAGACCGTGTAAGTCAGCAGACTAAGACGCAGAATCGGCTCGGGGATGGGGTAACGACGATGTTTCAAAAACACAGTGAGCGAGCGACAGGTAAGAGGACGACAAGCGAATTCTGTTTCTCCTCTCTCCTGAGCTCCTCCGATTTTCTGTAAAAGGCACGCATTGCTCTGAAACATTTCTTCCTTCCCTTTTTTTGTTGTTTTTTTTTAACAGATTGCTTTAAAGCAGCGGTTCTCAACCTGCAGGTCGCGACCCCTTTGGGGGTCGAACGGCCCTTTCACAGGGGTCGCCTAAGACGTAACAGTAGCAAAATCACAGTTATGAAGTAGCCGCGAAAATGATTTTATGGTTGGGGGTCCCCACAACATGAGGAACTGTATTGAGAACCACGGCCCTTTCAAGTTTAAAGGGAAGAAGACAAACTCATCGCTCAGGGCTCCGTGTCCGCGGGAAGCCCCCAGCAAAAGGAAGACAGCGCTGGGCGAGGCTCAGGGACTCCGAGGTGCTTACACCAGACCTGAGCCCGGACTGGGTTCCCCCAGAGACGGGCAGAGACAGCGAAGTGGAGGCAAAGGGCCCAGGGGAGGAACCCAGAGAGTTCGGGGTGGCGGCCACGTGAGGAAGGGAGGTGCTACCTGCGGGTCAGGAAAAGCAGAACAAGGGTCCCAGTCCCTGCTCTCCAGCCTGCCCTCCCGGATGGACCCAGAGGGCGTCTCGCTCTTCAGAAAGGGGGATCAGGCATGTGCCTCCCTCCTGCACACACTCATGTCGGCTTCATCCCAGGAACGCAGATTTAACATGAAGTCCAAACGCCCACATCCCATTCGTTCAAAGCCATTTTCTTCTCCCCCAAATGCCAATGGCATCTACACCTGACCTGGTCCCCACCTCTGTCCCTTGAGGGGAACGGTCAGTGAGCCCCATAAGCTACCTTCACAGTCAGCAGTTCCTAAAATCTGAAACACCTGAATCCCGGAGCAGGAGGAGGGGCCCTGTGGCCGGGAGGAAACCACAGGACGGGGACCTGGCGGGCAGTGGACACGGTCCTGGGGACAGTGGGGCGGGAAGGGGTGCGGCAGAGGAAAGGCAGGCCACGCACTGACCTTCTCCAGCTTCTCGAAGTGCTCGCGCAGGAACTTCATGGGACGCTCGGGCTTGGAGAGGCACAAGTGCACAATGCAGTCCTTGAGCACCTGCTGGACGCCGTGCTTCTGCACGTACCGCTCACACCCCTTCAGGCTCTCGTCCTCCTCCGGGTGGGATGGCGGCGAGGCCATGGCGCCTGCGTCCTGCGTCCTGCTGAGGAAAGCACACCGGCCGCCTTCAGCACCAGCCTCGGGAGCCCCGGCGGCTCTAAACCCACGTTTTACGTGTGTCCCAAGGCTCACGGTCATGGCCAAATCCAGTGCCCGCCCAGCGGGCTACGCGGTCCAGGCTCTGCTCTGCCCTCGTCAGAGGTCAGGCTGAGTTGCTGGCAGCCAGCAAAGCCTGACCTCTAAGCAAACCCTGCAGGGATGGAGGGGACCCCACATTCTGTGCAGGGCTGAGAACCCCTGAGTGTCCAGCAGCAGCTGGTGGTCCCACTTGCGTCCATCCCTCCCTCCTCTAAGGACAAGGCAGTGAAAAGTAAATAGAGATCCACCCCAAGGGGCACCAGAGGACCCTCCCTGAGATCTCAGGGGATCAGGGAGGTGGAGGGGTCCTGTCACAGGACTGGGGGGACGTCAGGAGGTCAGGGAAGTAGAGGGGCCATGTCACAGGGCTGGGGGGATGTCAGGGGGTCAGGGAGGTGGAGGGGCCCTGTCACAGGGCTGGGGGGACATCAGGGGGTCAGGGAGGTGGAGGGGTCCTGTCACAGGGCTGGGGGGACGTCAGGGGGTCAGGGAGGTGGAGGGGCCCTGTCACAGGGCTGGGGGGGGTCAGGGAGGTGGAGGGGCCCTGTCACAGGGCTGGGGGGACGTCAGGGGGTCAGGGAGGTGGAGGGGCCCTGTCACAGGGCTGGGGGGGGTCAGGGAGGTGGAGGGGTCCTGTCACAGGGCTGGGGGGGTCAGGGAGGTGGAGGGGCCCTGTCACAGGGCTGGGGGGGTCAGGGAGGTGGAGGGGCCCTGTCACAGGGCTGGGGGGTCGCTTATCCGGAGAAGAAAGAGAAAACCCACTGGAGCCGGCTGAGGGGCTGCTGGAGGGAGGACCCTGGAGAACAAGGGCGGCACGTTCACAGCCCCGCGCTCTGGACTTGGTCCCGGTGACGCGGGAACCAGGTGGAGGCCCCGCACCCGACCGCAGGGAGCCCGGCCCGGCCCCTCCCCAGCCCGCCTGTCCCCAGGCCTGCGACCTCGGCTGCGCGTCCCTGCCGTGGGCCGGCGCCCGGGCTTCTGCTACTGGACCACGATGGCCCGCGTCCAGCCAAGGGCGCAGGGGCTCCCCCAGACCCACATTCTCTGGGGTTCTCTGGCCAGCCGAGGCCCAGCTCCGCACAGGCCGGGGTTCTGGCGCGGACCCCACCTCAGCCCCGCGTACCTGGATGCACAGCGCCCGAGCCTGGAGGCGGCTGCGCGGGACGCGGGACGCGGGACGCGGGGACGTGAGGACGCGGGACGTGAGGACGGGGAGGGCGAGGTCCCCGCACTGCAGCGGCACCGCCTTCCGCCCGCCCACACAGAGCCTTCCCCCCAGAGCCGCTCCGCCACCACTGCCCCTCACCCCTTGGCCACGCCCCGCCGCCCCTCCCCACCCCCACCCTGGTCCGGTTCCCACACCCTGGCTCCCCCCTTGTCTCCCCAAGGACTAGCCTCTCCCCCTTTCCCCCAGGTTTCCCCGACTCCTAACCTACCCGTGTTCCCCTCCCCCTCTCCCCACCTCCTCTCTGCCCCCCTTGGCACTCAGGGGGTGCATTAGTGCAGTCAGGACAGGCCTGGTGTTGGATAGACAAGGCCCCCAGGACCCTGTGCAGCCAGACCAGGACCACCACCTGGCTCCCTGTCTTCGCCGCCTCCCCATCCCCCTCCACTGCAGACCTGGGTTGCCCACCTGGCGCGTGGGCCTGGGAGGGGTGGCCAGAGCCGGCCCTGCTCACACCTGGGCAGCACATCTGTTTGTCTGCGGGGCAGGTGCAGCTGTCCTCCAGGGTCTGTCTCCAACTCCCAAGTGGCGCCAGGGGCTCTGACCACCCAGGGAGAAATGGGCTGACTTCCGTTTCTGGGTTAAGGGCACCAGTTTCACCCAGATGCCCCAGTGGGAACCCACAGGGTCACCCAGCTTCTTTCCATCGTCCACGCATACAGGTCACTGAGGCTCCAGAGCCCCTCAGTGACTTCCCAGGCCACAGCTCAGGCTGCAGGAAAGAGAATTGTTCTCATTTTCCTGTTGTCCAACATCATGTTTTGTCCCCATTCTACCAGGGTGGTGGCAGAACCTTCATGCCAGTCAGTTCAGGGTCCCCCCCCCCACCAGGAGAAAGGCAGGGAGCCCAGGCCTTGAAGGGAAAGACATCTGGCCCCTTGTCCACTCCCCTGTCCCGGCTCCCCTGTCCCCACTCCCCTGTCCCCGCTCCCCTGTCCCCGCTCACCTGTCCATGTGGGCACACCGCCGGTGGGCGGCCCTTCCCCAGCTTCTTCTGGCAGCATGAAGGTGAAGGAACAGGCTGCACTCAACTGGACAAACCAGCTTCTTTCCACTTCCCCAGCCCTGCCCTCAACATGCCTCCTGGTCCTGTCTTATCTCAGGCACACTCACACCCGTCACTCACGCCTGTCCTGATCACACAATCATTTGAAGAATTTGAGTCCATTTTCATCTGAATCAAAACTTCATTCCACCACCAACTTCAACCTTGGGCTGTCTCTAAGCTCACACCTTGCCGTCCTTGCTGCCCTTCATCCCTGCCCCCACTCCTCCCCCCTCTCCTCTCTCTCCCTCCTCCGGCTCCTCCTGGTTCGTCGGTGGGCTGGGGAAAGGACGACAGAAAAGGGCCATTTCGTCTGATGGACGTAGGGGCACAGACACTCTCAGTCTCGTCTCCTGCAAGGACCTCCCCGTGCACTGCTTCCGACCCCTCTGAGGACGGACTTCTGGTCCAGGGTCCCTGCACTCTGCTGGATGCTTCCTTCTGGCAGAGACCCTGGACGATGTCCTTGCAAGACAAGGCCTTCCCCAGGTCAGGGGACTGTGGGGGGCTGGGTGCACCCAGCCCATCAGACACGTGGCCCGTGGTGTCTCGGCTGGAATGTGTGTGGATCCCTGTCCTCACACCACCAAGGGCAGCTCCTGCAGCCTCACCTGCAGACTCTTCAGGGACCTGTTTCAGTGGTTCCCCCGAGAACTGCCCCCGCAGCTCACCCCTGTAGCAGTCGGGCACGGCCCAGCTGCCCCCTCCCCCGCCTGCCAACAAGCATCCCTTTTCTCTTGCTGGCCCTACATGAGTTAAGTGGAGGCAAATGCTCCCCAAATGTCCCACTTGCTCTTTGCTCCATCGCGACAATGAAACCAATACCTAGAGGCCGGCAGAGACGGCATCACTGAGGCACGGAGCCGGGGCCATGATCAAAGCATGCCTGAAGCTCCTCCTGGGCCTGGCTTGCTGGTCGTGGTGCCCAGTAAATGCCTTCATTGCTTACACAGTTGTGTTTGTGCTTTTTGTGACTGAGAAACACCCATGTGGACACAATGCTGATCCCCCCCATCACAGACAAGCCCACAAAATGGTCCATAAGGGGGTGAGGGGTGAATGGTGGGCACGGGGTCAGTCTAGGAAGCTGACTGGGCAATCGCTGGCCAGTACCCTTGCAGAAAGATGGTAGACTGTCCCTTGGGGCTGGGTGTGACGTCATGTGCTCCCAGTGTTGACTGCAAGGTGGAGGCCACCGCCCCGCCGGACAGCAACAAATCCCGTTTTTATACCCATGCTCTTCTATTTACTTGTGTATTTACTTAATTTCTGCCAAAGAGATAAGGGCAAAGAATTAAACCTGTGAATGGTCATCCAAAGTCTGTGCCTTTACTTCACGCTGCTCAAACAATAAATAGCCAAATGATCAGAATTCATTTGTAAATGAAATGGGAATTACTTTTGCTTCCTAATAATAATTGAGATAGAAATGGGGAGGGGGGAGCATTGTGAGGGTGACTGGAAATAAAGGGAAGAGTATAAGAGACCCGAGCAGTACGGCGTGTGTGTGTGTGTGCATGTGTGTGCACATGTGTGTCTGTGGTAGACAGAGTGTTACGGGTTTGTTTAGGCCAGTGACACAGGCTTGTGAAAGAATTCACAACCGAGACTGCAGAGAAAAGGGAGGAACTTTATTTTCTTCTCCTACAGGCGGCACAGGCCTACCACACTCTTCCATTCGAACATGCAGTTGGTGCTCAGACAGCCATTCAAAAGTCCTGCAAACTGTGCTTGTCTGAGTGTTCCTCCACCCACAGGGAAAGACCCACCCTCTGTGCTCCGCCCTTTACCTTCCCCAGCAGAAGGTGTTCGCATTCCGCGGGCCTGGGGGTCCTCACTTCACCCCCAGAGCCTTGGTGGCCAAGCCTTGCAAAGATCCAACTTCAAAGCCTCATTCACCTCCCAACGCCAGCGCAGCCGCCAAAGTTCCACGTGAAAATGTTTTCTGCAGGGGCCTCCCCGTGGCACCTGCACCTCCAGGAGAAGTTGGATGCCTCTGGGGCCACCGGGGTGCCTGTACTTCTCCATAGCTCTCATCACATGCTATTGAATAGCTGTGCCTGAGGCTGTTCGCGTCATTTGTCTCCCAGACACAGACGGTGCATGTCGAGCAGACATGCAGACACTCCTGGGAAGCACCTGGGCTCCGGAGGGGCCGTGGAGCGTGGGTCTGAGAGGGGCTCTGGGGTGGACCCCGGTGCCATCCGAGTCTCCCCAACCAGTGCCTTGGACAATACACACGGGCCCCAGCCCGCACCAAGGCCTCCCTCTGGGACAACAACTGGGCAGGAACGTCACCTGGAAAAGGTGTTAATTCTCAAATCAAGGCGGTATAACTCTCAACCGCTGCCTGGAGGGGGGGGGGCTGGGAATGGACCGTGCAGCCTGTGGTAAGAGTCCAGTGACCGGATGTGGTCACTGTTCCTCTTACCGCCCAGCCGTCTCTGGGGAGTGATCTAAGTCCTTTCTGGACCAGATCGGTTGGGGACAGGGAGGTCACTGAGGAGAAAGACAGAGAAGGGGACAGGGGAGGCACCCGAGTGCCTGGTGGCTGGCAGGGCCCCCGAACAGACGTCCATCACTAAGAAGCTTCGGGACTTTACAAGAACAGCGTCTCTATGGTTCAGCTTTGGAATTGTTCACTGTAGGTCTGGGATGCGAAATTTCACACACATTTCGCACTAAACGTCAAAGTCTGATTTAAGGATCATCTGGTAAGGGTTTGGAGGATGTGACCCCTACCCTACGGCGGCCACCGAGAAATCGGGGCACTCATGCATGCTCAGAAGCAGGTGCTCCCAGCCAGCGGTGGCGGAGGGTCAGCCTGGCTCCATTTGCAGCCCCAGAGGCCCCGGTGAGCTGCGCCTGGCCTCCTGGCCCCCTGGCCCCCAGACCTGGGAGAGAACCAGCGTGTGTGCTTTTACGTCGCTGCGTCTGGAACCAAGAAGGCTGAGCTGGAAGCTGGCAGAGGGGCGTCCGGTCCCCACCTCAGAACCCTCCAGACTCCTGGCAATGAGCATACGGGAGTGGCTTCGTGCCTCGGGGTGAACAGCCCTCTGCCCCCAGGCGTGCTGGAGGCCGACAGAGTCAGCCCATCTCTGGACAGGGACTCGTGAGAGCGGTGAAGGGAGCCACAGAGGAAACGGGTGGACAAGTGAATGCATGGACACCAGGAGCCGGCTCGAGCCCTCTGTCCCACCGGGGCCGTCTCCGTCCGCCCCAGGCCACAGCAGTCTTCTCTGGCCAGCTCACCCACCGCAGCTCACAGTCCAGTGTTTCCCCAAGTGTCAGAGCCTCTGGGAGCCTCCTCAGCCTCCCTGGCGGGCCTGGGCCATGGCGGAGTGACACCCCAGCCTTCGCAGAGGAGATTCCGAAAGCGACATTCTGCCCCGTCTCTCACGGGACACCTGCCTTCAGAACCGCCTGTCCTGCTGGGAGGACACCCAATGGCCAGGGGGGGAGCAGCTCCAGCTGCAGCACCAGAGGCGGGACACAGGAGTGACCAGCCTCCAGATGTGGCCAGCCCCAGCCTTCAGCCAGGCCCACCCATCACCCAGCTTGGTTAGTTAAGGTCATGCCCCACGGAACCCCGTCTAGTAAATGCCCTTGTTGAAGCCACTGGGTCCTGGGTGACCAGTTCTGCCGTGAGCTGGCTGGGACCTGCAGAGGAGGCCAGTTTCTGTTCGTCGCTACGAAGAGAACCGCTGTCTGTCCAGGTATCCAAGCCAGAGACCAGCCCTTATCCATCTCTCCCTGCCACAGCCCCCAATCCTTGCCCAGCGCTGCCGGCGTTACCTACAGTCTCTGAACCTGCCACATCCCCCTCTGCCCACCCTTCCGTCCAAACCAGCGGAGACACCGCAGCCTCCTGACTGGCCTTCCTTCCGCTCAAACCTCCTCACCATTCCTTGGGCACACAACCCTTTCAAAAGGCAAGTCCAGGGACTCCTCCGGCGGGCCGAGGGCCTGGTGACTGCCACGTCCCCCGTGCTGCCTCCCCGTCCCAGGGCCATGACCCTGCTCCTCGGAACCTCGTTCCTCAGGACCCACCTCCAGTGTCTCCCTAAGAACCTGCTTTGTCAGGTTGCTCACGTCACAGTCGCACCTGCTCGCACTGTCACTCGATTAGCCCCCTCTCCAGCGGCCACCAGACCCAGAAGGGACGGTATCTGCTCTGACTTACCACTCTTCCTGTCTGGGCGGGATGTCTGGAAACGTCACAGCTCCCACAAGCATTTGCTGGGCGGTACAATGAGTCAAGTGAGCACTATCTGCGAAAATCAGTTTATTGCACTTACAGTATTTAAAGATTTTAAAATTTTTTTTCTTTATTGATTTTGGACAGAGGAAGGGAGAGAGAGAGAGATGGAAACATCGATGAGAGAGAACATCGACTGGCCGCCTCCTGCACGCCCCGCACTGGGGATCGGGCCCACAAGCTGGACATGTGCCCTGACTGGGAATCGAACTGGCGACCTCCTGGTGCAGGGTTGACTCTCAACCACTGAGCCACTTATTTACATGACACACTTCGTACTACATGTGACCAGGACACTGCGCCATGACCTTGAACAGGACGGAGTTGCCTTTTCTGACTTGCCTTTGAAACCCACTCAGAGGAGCGAGCTGGTCCTCCGCCCAGACACACGCCTGGGTAGATCCACCACCTCTTGGCTCAAGGCCAGAGATTTCCAGGTGGTACAGTTACTGCTAAGATGCAAACCAGCCCTGGCTGGGTGGTCCAGTTGGTCGAGCGTTGACCCCTGCACCAAGAGGTCACCAGTTCGATTCCCAGCCAGGGCACATGCCTGGGTGGTGGCTCAATCCCCAGTGGGGGACGAGCAGGAGGCGGCCAGTCTACGTTCCTCGTATTGATGCTTCCCTCTCTCCCTGTCCTTCCCTCTAAAGCCAACAGAAACATATTTAAGAAGATGCAAACCCAGCGTCATCTGGGTCGTGGTCATTACGTGTCCAGGCCTATGAAATGGCTAAAACTGCCAACCTGTCGGGCGGCGAGGCCTGACGCAGCCTCCGGCCCAGAGAGGCCCCTCTGTCCCTCCCCATCTGCGTCTCCACACTTGCTGACCAGGATCTGACCTCTCCCGCATCCAACAGCTCTGGCACCCAGGATTTCCGGAAATTATTTTCTCACCATTCTGGAAGGCTTAAGTCCAAGGGAAGGTGGCGGAGGGGCTGGTTCCTCCTGCGGGCGAGGCGGTCTGCTCAGGCCTGGCCTTGGTCTGCAAAGGGCCGTCCTCATGTGTCCACCCCCACGCCCCCTTCTGATAAGGACACCGGGCACCGGGTTGCAGCCCGCCCCTAGTCTGAACTCCGGTATCTTTGTGAGAGCCTCCCCTCTGAGGTCCTGGGGGTGAGGACTCCCAGACGGGAATTTGGGGGACACAATTCAGCCCCCGCTGCCCCGCCGCAGGGGCTCCTCGCCGCCCCGCACCCGGCGGACGGTCCCCCAAGGCCCGCGGCGCTCCCACGCGCGCCCCCGGGCGCCTCGGCCGCGGCCCACCTGCGGAGCCGAGCACGCGCGGGGTTCCTGGACGGGCCTGGGCACGTTCACAAACACGGGGACCCCCACGAGCCACCGCTTTTCCCAACGAACGTGCGCGGGTCGAGTCCAGAACAGTCTGGTCCTGACACCGAAGGGCGGAGCTTTTCGAAACCCACACGCGCCGTGGTCACGGGTGGGCGGGCCGGGTGCCCGCGCTCCGACCGCATCCGGGCGGGCCGGTTCCGCACCTGCGCGTCGCGGCCGCGCTCCAGCCGCCAATCAAGCGGCGTCCCGCGCCGACCGGAACACGGGCCGTAATCCGCGCCGCGCCGTCGTAAAAGCGCCGGTTTCCCCAGGCGACGGGTAACGCGGGGCCGATGGCGGCGCTGGTGGCGGCGGAGGCCGTGGCGCCCCCGGGCCGGGCCGAGGCGGCCGAGCCGGCCGAGGCGGCGGAGCTGAGCCGCGCCCTGAGCCGCCTGCTGCCCGGGCTGGAGGCCGACAGCAAGCTGGGCCGGCGGCGCGCGCTCGAGGCCCTGCAGCGCGCCCTGGAGGCGCCCGCCGCCGACCCCGCCGCCTTCCAGGGCCCCTGGGCGCGCCTGCTGCTGCCGCGCCTGCTGCGCTGCCTGGCCGACCCGGCCGAGGGCTGCCGCGCGCTGGCCGCGCACCTGCTGGGCCTGGGCCTGCGGCGCGCCGCGCGGCCCCGCGACGCCCTGCCGCGCCTGCTGCCCGCGCTGGCCGCGCGCCTGGCCGGCCCCGAGCCCGCGCGCCGCCCGCCGCCCGAGGCCTGCGAGGAGCTGCGCCTGGCGCTCGTGCAGCTGCTGCGCCTGGCGGTGGACCTGGGCGGCGCCGCGCTCGCGCCCCACCTGGACGACGCGGTGCGCGCGCTGCGCTGCACGCTGCTCGACCCCTTCGCCGCCGTGCGCCGCGAGAGCTGCGAGTGCGCCTCCGCCCTGGCGCGCGCCACGCCAGGTGCGCGCGACCCCCTCCTGCCGCACCGGCCCTGCGCCGGGCCCTCCCGCGGTCGGTCTCTGCGCCCCTCCTTTCCTCCCGGACGCTTTCCCGGCCCGTGGGTCTCAAAAGGCAGAACCCGCCGCTGGAGTTCAGTGGGTCTGGGGTGCGCCTGCCCCTCGCCGGGGAGACGGTGGCCCAGGTGGTTACGGGAACGCACCTCGAGAAACCCCGCTTCAGTCTGGCACTTTTCATCTCCGGTCCTCTCCGGAGTCCACCTGTCTTCTCTGGCTTGGACCGCTGCCCTCCCGCTTCCCCGCATCGTCCATTCTGGGATGTTTTAGAACCGCTCATCCGGGCAGGCACTTTTTTTTTTTTTAAGCAGCCATTTCCGCAGCATCTTGCCCGAGTGGCCCTCCTTGCCCCAGGCCAGGGTGTGAAATGCTGGCGGAAGCAACTACTTAGTGTTGGGGAGGCTTCCAATAGGAGAGAGCATTAAGGGAAGGTGGTGATGGGTGGTCTGGAGGGACTCAGCCTTGAGGAATAAGCTTGGCAGACAGGAGCGCAGAGGAGGCCCAGGTGACCAAGGGAAGGAGGGGCAGGTGGGGGTTGAAGTTAGTGTTCTGTGCAGTGGGAACCATGGAGGGTGTGCAGAAGGGGCCTGATGGGCTCGGGTGCTGTCTTGTTTGTGCGAGATCACTGGTGCTGGAGGATAATGGATTACAGGGAGGGCAGTAGAGAAAATGAAGCCAGTTGGGGCCATAACTCATCTGTGTTTAGATGCCACTGGCTTGGACTGGGCAGGGCAGTATGCTAATAGACATGAAGGGGAATGGACGGTTGGGTTGAAGGTAGAGCTGGCAGGGTTTCCTGTTGAATTTGGTGAGAGATGAGGGAGAAGGCGGTTTGGGGGGACAGGAGACAGGAAGAATGGGGCTTATGGTGACGTCACGTCAAGTTTGGATTCCAGTAGTGCAGACTCGAGGAGCTGTGGAGGAGGCTTGGCTGGAGATGGCCGTTGGGAATCACAGCCGTGGATGCGTTGCTGCTCGGCCCTCGGCCGTCTCTCCGGCCTGCGCCAGCGTGGTGGACTCGTCTCACGCTTTCCAGCCTTTGTGTGTGTTCCCTCCAGGGATCGTCAGTTCAGGGAGGCAGGACGGTGCCTTGCTGGGCCCCAGCACACAGCACTGTGCCTGCCAGGGGGAGGTGCTCTGGTTGTTGGGTGAAGGACTGTTTCTTCTGCCTGAAGCACCACCCCAGCTCCACACCTGCCCCTCTGCCCCACCCACCCGAGTGAGGGGCCCCTCCTGGGGATCCTAGTCACATGGGGCAGCAGTGGATCAGGAACCGGCCCACAGCACCACTGACATAGCCCTCTGTATGTAGACAGGCCTTCAGTAGCAGCAGAATGGAGGCCAGAGATTTGAGACCGGGGGGCAGCCTGGCTGTGTTGACCCAGTTCTGTTTCCTGTGAGGACCTCATGAGTAGGCAGTGGAGCAGCTGCGTCTAAAGCAGCTGGTGCTGGTCCTGCTTTCTGCGGTGATGCTGGGTGTCTGGCTTGGGACACCACGGAGGTGGGGGCTTGGACAGTTCCTCCTGGCTCGGTTGCTTTTCTTTTGGTGGGCATCCCTCTCGGGCACTTGTAGCTGTCGGCAGCATCAGGCTGTCCCTGCACAGCCCCTGAGGTGGGCAGGCTCAAGCCCCAGCTTTCTCTCTGTGGTCCCCCCAAGTCTGAGTCGGAGAGGTGCAGTCTGGGTCACACCTGTTCCTGCACTTCATCAGCCCTGTACCTGCAGCAGGGACCTTGGTGGGGAAGGAAGGAAGGCCCAGGGGCAGTGGCCTGTCCTGGGTACCCATGAGCTGGGCCAGGGCTGAGACACAGGGAGCAACCCTGCTAACCGGTGGCCTTCCCTGCCCCACAGACCACTTCCACCTGCAGTCGGAGTCTCTGATCAACCCCCTGATGCAGAGCATCTCCCACCAGCACTGGAAGGTCCGGGTGGCCGTCATCGAGGCCTCCGGCACGGTGATCCAGTTCGGCAGCGGGAAGTCAGTGGACGATCTGCTTCCTCACTTTGCTCAGCGGCTCTTCGATGGCGTCCCTCAGGTAACCGGCGGCCCAGGGCGGTCTGTTCCTTCACAGGAAGCAGCAGGCTGCAGGCTGGCGGGCTGCGATGCTCTAACTCACTTCCTCCTTCCAACCGGTGATGTTACATGTCACACCCAACTCAGACCCGGGTGCTTGTGTTCCACCGCGAGAAACGGGGAGAGCAGAATTGTTTTGATACATTGTTATTCTTAGTCCAAAGGAATGTGGAGGAGGGCTGTTCTCTCCTGGGAGAAAAATCCCGCTGAGCTGCCATTTACAGAAGCATCTGTAATGACCCCTCACCCTCCCCAAGGCGGACTTACTGGAAAAGCCAGCGGTTGGCAAACCAGGCCTGGGAGGAGAAGGGTGGGTGAGGGGCTGGGTGCTGGGAGTAACTTGTTCCATTGGGCTTTAGGTCCTGTTGAGTGACAGACAGACAGACGGACAGAGATTGAAGTACCGGCTTTTTTGTTGACAGAAGCTAACTCAGAGGGATGTTAGCTCATAAGTCTCAAAGAGCAGGAGGAGGCTGCAGCAGCTGTCTCCCCACGGGAGGACATGGGCCACGTGCCCCCAGCCATGTGGGGGCGTGGTCTCAGGCAGTCCTCTAGCGTGGATAGAAAGTGTCCCTGCCCCCCACGTGCACAGGGCTCTTGTACCAGCCTCCCCCATGTCACCCAGCCACTGTCTCGAGTGACTCAGGGACGCTGGTCACGCCTGCGTCCCCAGGGTCTGCAGCTCAGGGTCACCCAGCTGGAGCGAGCCCCAGGGCCAGACCTGGTGACGCCAGACTGCCCTCAGGGACTGTCCTTCTCCCAACCAGCTCAGCCCTCAGGCATTTCTGAGCATCTGCCAGCACCCTGGTCGGGTGTAAAAATGGGCAGGTCTTGCCCCTGCGCTTCTGGAGGGCAGTCTATTAGCTGTCCCCGCATGGGAGCAGTGGAAGGTGAGGGTGGGGAGATGAGAGAGTGATTCTGGGGACCCTGGGGAGGGGAGGAGGATGTTCCTCATCACATCCGCTACGTTAGAGTCCTTGGAGGCTGGTGGGCCGAGCCCCAGGGCCCCGCGGGAGCTCTGCCAGGGGACGGGACAGGCATCGGAGCCCTCGGGTCCAGGGGAGTGTCATCCAGCGGCAGCCTGTTGCTGCTAGGAGACGGGGAATGAGCTGCCTCTGCAGGTCCCAGAGCGGCAGGGGCTGGGCCGGTGGGCTCTGCTGGTTTATGGGCTCTGAGCAGCCCACCCCAAATTCATGTGGGTGCTGTTGGGGCCCGGTCCCTGACCTGTGAAGGCCCACAGGCAGCTTGAGCCCCTTTGCCCAAAACCTGCAGGTGTGTTGCTCCCCTTGGCTGCCCCACCCGGGGCTCCCTCGGACGTGGCGGAGGATGGGCTTCAACCAGGCTACATCTCTGCCTCGTCCTGCTCCCTTCACTGATGATGTACGGTGCCCACGGCCCCTTCTCAGCCTGCCCTCAGGGAGCTAGACCTGGGGCACCTGGTGTTTAAGCTCGCCTCTTCCCTGTGGTGGGTAGGATAGGCATAGGTGTGCACGACACCTTTCCAGACAGCCAGGCGCAGAACTGGGGGTGCCCCGCTGGCTTCCCCAGGAATCCCGGCAGCTGGTTTAAGCACCCAGGGTGAGACCGTACCCAGTGGCCAGCGAGTTCCCTCACGGAAGACTTTGCAGACACCACTTTGCTAAGCTGCGTGAGGCTCTGGTCTCACCAGCAGAGGGTCAGGCCAGAGCCCAGAGGACTGGGGCTGGAGCATCATTTCCTGGCCCCAACATTTCCTGTGCAGGCCTGGGGTGCAGGTGTCAAGCCCAGCGAGCTCCTGGGGCGGCCCTGAGACCCGGGCGAGGCGGCTGACCCCGGCCCGAGCTGTCCTCTGGGACCATGGCCCACACCAGCCCTCAGCGCTGTCCTTCCCGCTGTGAACCTGCGCTCGCTTTCCCACGCAGGTGCGGCAGGCGGTGACCCGTGTGGTGGGGGGCTGGCTTCTGGAGCTGCGGGACCGCTACTCCTTCTTCCACAAGCTCATCCCCCTGCTGCTCAGCAGCTGTGACGACGAGATGCCGCACATCGCGTGAGTGTGGCAGCTGCGGGGCCTCCCGGGGGGCGCTGGGCACGGGGCGTGGGGCGCTGGGCGGCTGGCCCGGCCCCCAGCCAGCGCTACCCTTCCTAAACCATCGCTGACCACGTCGTCCTGTCACTGGCTCAGGTCCCCGGGGAGCCCACCCCATGCCCTTAGTCTGTGTTGGGGGGATCTCATGGCACGAAAGGGGCTCTGTGGCTTTTAAAAAATATTTTTCCCGCCCAGCCAGTGTGGCTCAGTGTTTGAGGGGAGAACCATGGACCCAAGGGGTTGCTGGTTGGATCCCGGTTGGGGCACGTGCCTGGGTTGCAGGTTCCATCCCCACTGAGGGGCGTACAGGAGTCAGCGAATCGGTGTTTCTCATTAATGTTTCTATCTCTTTCTCCCTCTCCCTAAAAATCAATAAAAACATATTTAAAAATAAAATAAAATAGGTTTTTCCCTTTTTGATGCTTTGGGCATATGCACAGGACCCAGCTCTTAGGGCTGCCGGTGAGGTGAGCAAACAGCCCCTGACCAGGTCTCAGGAGACACTCGGTACCAGCGCCCGGCCCTCCCTGACTCCCTGTGTCTGTCCTGCAGGCTCGAGGCGGCCGGCCTCTGGGAGAAGGTCGGCCTGCAGTGGCAGAAGGAGAATGAGGAGGATCTCAAAGACAAGCTCGACTTCACCTCTCCCCCTCCCGCCCATCACCCCTCGCCAGGTGGGTGCAGCCTTCCTGGGATGGTGGCTTGGGCGGGACAGTCTGGGAGGGTCTCTCCCAAGGAGAAAGGGCCGAGCCCAGGTGAGGCGGGCAGGCTGGTGTCCTCAGGCCCCTCCCGCCCCAGGGCCAGCCCTGCTGTGCCGAGCTTCCTCGGGTGTCCAGGTGCCTGTGGCAGGCCCTCCCTGGCGCCCTCGGGAGCCCTGCCGGGTGAGGCCCGAGTATGGTCGGCGTGAGGCAGTTGCCGCTGCTGCTGGTGGAGAAACTTTGGAAACAGGTGGCACTTTGTCATTTACCAGGAAAGCTGCTTCTGTAAGCTTTACGTAGAGCACACAGGCCACAGGGAGGGTGCAGGCCCTCCGTTGGGGTGGTTTCTGCCTGGGACAGAGGGTCCGCAGCAGCACCCCGTCCCCTGCTCCTCGTGGTGCTTGTTCTCATGCTCAGTTCCCGCAGCGCCGGGTCAGTCTCAGCCCCGGGCCGCACACCTCCCTGCCCCCAGCTCTGGTCGGTCTGGACGCCTCGGTCCCCATAGTCCACACAGGTGTTTTCTTAGCGTAAAGTCACAGTGGGGTGCTCCGGCAAGGACAGCGCTGACCGGCCGGCAGCCACACTGCGCCCCTGGTTTTCTGTGTGGGGCCGGCACAGGCGCCTCCTCAGACCTGAGGTCCTTGGCTTTGCCTCCAGCTGCTCTGCCCTCAGCGCAGTCGCTGTGAGGGGCAAGCACGCGGGGCGGGCACAGGTCTTCTGGAGAAGGGACCAGCGTTAGATGCCAGCAGGGTTTCCCTGATTTGGTGAAGTCCGGGCATGTGTGGGCAGAAGGCTGGTCTGTGCTGGGGGAAGCCGTCTCCTGGGGGCATCCTAAGCGGGGAGCCCTCCGCTCCGTCTTGCACCGGACCTCACTGTCCGTCCTGAGGTCTCAGTGGGTCTTGGCTGTCGACCAGGACACAGCATGCTGTTGGACGTGACGTCCAGCGCAGCCTCACTGACCCCTGTCCAGTCCTCCCATCTCCCCTGGTCCCTCCAACCCCACGGGGGCGCAGTGTCCTCGCCAGTGCTGATGCTGCTGCGGCGTCAGACGTGACAGCCACCTGCAGCGGGACGGTCGCGGGAGGCAGACAGGACAGGTCCTACCTCAGAAGGAGCGAGGCCAGAGCAGAGTGGGCGCGTGTGTGGCCAGCCGGACCCGGGCTCGTGGGCGGCAGTGCTGAGACCGTGCTTCCGTGATGGCAGAGTTAGACGGAGCATTGGTGCACGAGCACAAGGTTTCATTAGGTTTTGGCATTTCCCCTAAAATTATCTCTTCTTCTTTAAAACTTGAATTTTAAATCTAAGTGTTCTGGTTTTTTTAACACTATTTGACACGTGCGCCTATGTCGGCCTCATCCTCAAAGCCTCGCCGTGGGCCACCTCCTCCTACCCTGACCCCCGTCTCGCTGAGCTGCTGGCCCTCCTGGTGCCCCGCCCACTGGCGTCTCACTTTGGGTCCCGTGATGGCCCCTCTCTCCGCCTCTCCCAGGACACCCTCCTGTCTCGTGGGCAAAGTGGGCGAAGTGTGGGGTGCGGTTCCTCGTGGTGGTGGGTCATATTCCGCCCGTGGACGTCCTGAGTCTGGGTGTCTGTCTCCAGCTGAAGGGCGTTTTGGTCATTTCCAGCGCTCAGCGGCTTCACGAGGCCGATGTCGCACCTGCATAGGTTCTGTGTGGCTGTGCCCTCGGGGAGACACTGAGTGGCAGGCAGGGGGCTGGCACTGGCTGCCGTGTGGATGGCAGGACCTGCGACCGGGCGCTGAGGTGTGTCGCGGCCTGGTCGGCGTGGCAGGGGCATGTTTCGTGTGCTCACGCTGGTGCAGCGTCTGCTCAGGTCTGTCCTCATTGGAATCGGGTGGTTTGTTCTCCTGCTAGGGAGTTTCTGGACCTCTGGACCTCCTGGGCCGGGCCCTTGCCGGGCTCGTGAGGTGTGGCTCTTCTCTTCCGGTCCCCAGCTTGTCCCCGGGCGGCCCAGCGGGCACTGTGCTTCTCCGTGTCTCCTCCCTCCCACCTGCCTCTCTCCTCCAGCTGACGTCGTGCTGCTTCTGAGCAAAAACCTTTGCTCCCCTCATCTCTGGAGAGGGCAGACTTGTCTGTGCCTGTGTCCCAGCACCTGGAGCAGGTGTGCCAGGTGCAGAGTGTGTGATGTGTCCTCTCCTACCTGTGAGATGGATGGTCTTACTGTGTGGCTGAAGCACAGACCCGACCGGGGAACAGACACGCTTTGACAGGTGACAGCCCTCTGCCGAGAGACACTGCGCGGGCGCCCCCCTCCCGTCACACAGGGCACGCCTGGGTCAGGTCTAGGCAGAGCCGACCCCCTTTCCCGGGGAAGTAAGGTGCACAGTTCCTGTCACAGTGCTGAAGTGAGTCCCCACCTTTAACAGGGAGACAGGTAGGGGGTCGGCAGGGCCTCGTCTCTGCCTTCCAGCCCAGCACCTACAGACAGTGCCCTGTGGTGTGGACGCGCAGGCACTGGCTGGACGGCCCCAGGCCGGCAGCGGGGCTGAGGGGACTGGGTTCCGGGCTCTTCGCTTTGAAGGCACCTTCCGTCGAAACTTTTCCCTGGTGACACTCGAGTGGAAGGAAACCCCTCTGCACAATGGTGATTGGCTCACAGACCTTTTCACACAGAAATGAGGAGAGTCCCGCTTGAACAAACACCACCGTGCGGTGGCCTGCTCCCTGCGCCATGCCCCTGCCTTCTCATGCTTCCCCCAGCGCGGGGTGTTTGTTCTTGGGAGGTGTGGTGGCTCCAGGAGTGTCCAGGCGTCCGACCTCATCAGGTGCGGGCTGCCCTGGGCCACTTACCTGTCAGCGTCGCTGTAAAAACCCTGAAGTAAATGATGACACTTTGTCTCCCTTGCTGTCCTCAGGTGGGTTTGAATGTTGAAAACCTCAAGGTAAAGCCTGCAGGTGCACCCTTCCTGAGGGGTGCAGTAGATGGCTCTCTGGACAGGCCACTGAGGTGCTGTGGACGTCACAGGCTACTTTTGATCTCTTTAATCTAGAGACTCGCCCAGGGTTGGGCTGTCGGGAGCTCGTCTTCAGAAACCTCTCCAAAATCCTGCCCGCCATCTGCCACGACATCACGGACTGGGTGGTGGGGACCCGGGTGAAGTCCGCCCAGCTGCTGGCCACGCTGCTGCTCCACGCCGAGGACCACATCACCCAGCACCTCGAGGTCCTGCTCCGGACCCTGCTCCTGGCCTGTGCCGACGAGGAGAGTGCCGTGGTCAGCAGCGTGAGTGGCCGTTCTGGGCACGTCGGGTGGGCTCTGGCTGGGACTGTGAAAGTCCCCCATCTAGGTTTGCGGGTCTGCGAACTGAGAAGCGGAAGAGCCGAGGACCCAGCACCACAGCTGAGACCAAAGCGCTCCTGCCCCCAGAACGGCCTCGCCAGCCCGGCCCTGGCCTGCTGTCCGTCCTCTGACGCCATCTGGAGGGTGGTGCACAGAGAGCTCCGCGCAGCGTGGCCTTGGGGATTGGTGTCCGTGCATCCTGATGCCCCGAGATCACCCATCTATGCGTCCATGGCCTGGGGTCCAGTGTGCATTCACCCCAAGTTAGGGACCCACCAGAACTCGGCCCCCCGCCAGCCACTTACAAGCCGGATAGCGTCAGCTTTTCTCAGGGACGTCCTGGGGGTAACCAGGGGCCTCTCGGTTTCACCAGCATTTTGAGCACCTGCCAAGAGTTGTCCCCAGGCAGTTCTGGCGGGAGGCGTGCCCCGGGGGCAGCCCTCAGCCCCGGCGTTTCCCCCACAGTGCACGAGGTCCGCAGAGCTGATCGGGACCTTCGTCAGCCCGGAGGTGTTTCTGAAGCTGATCTGGCCAATGCTGAGGAAGTCACCCTCTGCCTCCGGTCTCCTGGTCCTGGCCTCGATCATCCGGGGCTGCCCGAGGGAAACCCTGCGGCCGCACCTAAAAGCCGTGGCCACAGAGCTGGCCGGTGCTCACATCTGTCAGGGGTCTGAGAACGTAAGCGTGGACCGGGGGGGGGGCTCTCACATCACAGCCACTTCCAGCCGCTCATTCGTGACACATACACTGAAATTCTGGGGTGCAAAAAAGCTTTTTTTTTTTTGCTGATCTAACCAAAAAAATAGGTATAATTTTGATTCATAGATGCCGGACAACTACTGTCACGTTGGCTGTTGTCATTTTCCTACTTGATGATCTGAGGGAAAAGGGTCAGTGCCCCCATCTAGGCAGGTACTGCAGGTGTTTATTTTTTAATTCTCACCTGAGGACATTTTTGCATTTATCTTCAGATAGGGTGGGAGGGAGAGAGCGAAACATCGACGTAAGAGAGACACATCAAGTGGTTGCCACCAACATGACCCCAACTGGGGCCGGGGACAAACCGAGGTACGGGCCCTTAGTGGGAACCGAACCCAGGACTCTCCTATCCGAGGGTCGATGCTCTAACTGCTGAGCCAAACCGGCCAGGGCAGATGCTGCGGGTTTAAACATTCCTGTGGATCACAGGTTGGAAATCGCTGTGTTATCAGACGGATGTGTCACTGCCTGATACTGTCCTAACAGGACTATTGGTCACCATAGCACAAAGGCCGGCCCCGGCTGACCACCGGTGCTGGTCAGGATGCTGCCCTGATCCTGTCCTGTCTGGGACCCTGAGTGCCCCATCTCGTTCTGCTTCATCCAGTGTGGTAGCCATTTTTTAATTTATTTTTTGTTTGTTTGTTTGTTTGTTTTTTTATCCTCACCCGAGGATATTTTTCCATTTTTTGTACAGATAGAGTGGGAGGGAGAGAGAGGAAGGGAGAGAGAGAGAGAAAAACATCGACGTGAAGGGACACATCGAGTGGCTGCCACCCGCACGACCAACCAGGGCCAGGGACAAACTGCAACTGAGGTACGTGCCCTTAGCGGGAACCGAACCCGGGTCTCTCCGGACCGCAGGCCGACGCTCTAACCGCTGAGCCAAACTGGCCAGGGCGGTAGCCATTTAAATTAAATTTAAAATGCAGTTCCAAGAGTCCACGAGCCATGCATGGCGGGTGCTGCCGTGGTCATGCACAGTGGCAGCTCTGATGAAGTTGTAGGTCCCCGCCTGCTGGTCCACACTGGACTTCCTGCGAATGCCATCTTCATGGCACCCGAGCTTTGTCCGCTTCAGGGCTTCCGTGCCTGCGCTCAGAGCCCGTGCCTGACGGTGTGGCTGCAGGTCTAAGTCAAGCCACAAATCCATCGTGTCTGGAGCTGAAACCGTCTGGCTGGTAGGCGTAACTGTTGGGAATAACTTACAATTGTTCGCTGTTGAAGGAAAAGCAGTGATGTTTTTGTCGGGCTGTGCTGGACGTGGCCCTCGGGTCTTTGCAGGGAGAGCAGGCTGCCTCACGTGGTCTGTCCAGCAGCACCAACTGCACACGTGGCCACAGAGCTGTGCCCGGGGGCATGGACCAGCTGCTCTGGGTGTGGCCAGCGCTGGCCCTCGGTGTCCGTGTCCTCTGGTCCCCCGCCAGGGCCTGTGCTCCGGCGTCAGAGTGAGGAGGGCGCAGCTCACAGTGGCTCACGAGCCTCCCGGTGAGCCTGTGGGGCCATTTCTGAAGTAGAAAGCAGGGAAGTCGAGGTGACATCCTGGGAAGGGTGTGGGGGGCCTTCTCGTCTGCTCCGGGGCTTTCAGCCACGTTTCTTATTTCCCAAACCCGTTTCTGACGTAACTGTCCGTCTGGGTGCATATTGCATTTCTGCTCTGGAGCGGCTCTGAGAACGGTCCCACCCTGTGTGTCGATTTGCAAGCCAAGAGCGTGTTTTCCTAGAAGGGCGGTACTGGAGAATCTGCATCGGTGTTTAGATGAGACAAGATGCCTGGATACTTTGTAGCCAAGAAGATGTAACTTCTTAGTGTGTTACAGAAGAATTGAGCCCCTTAACCCACCAGTTGGGTTGTGCACTAGGCTCCTCCCCTGCCAGTGTTTTCCAGGGAAGTGAGTCTTAATGGCCTGAAGGGAGGGACCCCTTCTGACAAAGTCCCATCACAGTAGCGTCTCTAGATGTGTGCCAGCCCCGCCTGGGCCAGGAGCTCGCGTGACGGAACCAAGACTCACTTTCTGCTCCTGGGCAGAGTGACACGCCTGGCACCTCAGGTGTGGGCAGGGGCGCCTGCTCCACCCGGGACGTGTGTGTGCGTGTGCGCGCGTGTGTGTGTGTGCATCTTTGCCTGTGTTCCTGTGCATGTGTGTGTGTGTGTGTGCCCGTGTTCCTGTGTGTGTGTGCGCATGTGTGCCCGTGTGCCAGTGTGTGCGTGCACCTGTGAACATCCTTAGGAAGTAGCCTGTTTCCCGCAAGTATCTTCAGTAGCTATAAAAGCCACGAATGTCTTTTAAGAACAAACTGAAATTTGAAAACTTCCATGTGAAACGAAGGGTCCGGGGGACCTCGGAGCAGCAGGTCTGGGCCTGGTGGGCAGCAGCCCCAGATGACCCAGCCAGCGTTCGCCTGGGGCTCTGCGGGGATGCGTCCTCGCCTGTGAGGTGACCGTTAGTGACAGGTGGCTGAGGTGAGGGGACTGACAACACGGGTGACTCTCGCCTGTTTGGCTGAAGGGCGCAGGGTGCAGGCCCCACGCCGCGCCCGGCCCTGGGGCTCCAGGGACGTTGTTTCGGGAGCAGCGGCACCGGGATGCTGTGGGCAGATGTTGAAAACTCCAGCGGAACGTGCAGAACTCCGCCGCTTCCTCCGAGATGCCCCTCGGTCCCCCCAGGGCTGACGCGTGGGGACAGGCGGCCTCCTGAGTGCCGATGTCTGGGCAGGTCCCCACACGGCTCTGCAAAGCCCAGAGCACGGGTCTGAAAGACTGACTTCCTTCTCGTTGTAACGGCTGCTCCTTAAATACACCGCCCGTGCCACTGAGACACAAGACAAGATCGTGTCCTCAACAGTTAACTAACCGAGCCAGGCCTAAAGGAATTGGGCTGCCCTGGCCGGTGTGGCTCAGCGGTCGGAGGGTCCGCCTTTCACTGAGGGTTTCAGGTTTGATTCTGGTCAAGGACACAAACCTGGGTTGCAGGTTTGATCCCAGCTCCAGTTGGGATCGTGCAGGGGGCAACCAGTCCATGTGTCTCTCTCACATCAGTGCCCCCCCCCCATTCTAAAAGACAATGGGAAAATAACCCCAGGTAAGGATTAACGAGAAAAGAAAGAAAGAAAGAAAGAGTCTGCAGGAAGGGTCAGGACTCCGATAAACACCAGCCTGTGTTCTCACGAGAGTAGGTGCCGGCGTCCTGCCTGAGTGAGGACGGGGCCGGCCCAGCCCAGCCGTCACCTGGTCGCCCTCACGAATCAGGAAGCGTGTTTTGCACCATATAATTTATTTATTTTTGTGAAGACATAGTATTACAGAAATATTTCAAAATGCACATAGGTAGAGTAGAAGGAGCCTCCGGGACCACCCAGCTTCAACCAACTCTCGGATTCTCGTCTGTCGGCCGCCCTCCACCTCTCTCTTGGCTTGGGGGAGGGGAGCTGGGCCTTCGAAGTACAGACAAGATGCCTGGTCATCTCGCTAGCATACTCTCCGTTACCAGTCGGTATCTCTAGCACGTGAGAACTTTTTTAAAGACAAGTTAACAAAATTAACATGAATTTAATTCTGTCTGTGTTCAGTTGTTTGTTGTCTGAAAAATGCCTTCATGGTTGGTGTGCTGGACTCCATGGCCTCTCGGTTCTGTGGCTCGTGGCCGTGGCCTCGTGTGGGCCCCTGGGCCAGGCGTGGGGGTGGGCCATGGCCCGGGACCGTGGCTGACGGTGCTCCCTGCTCTGCTTGCAGCGCCGATACGGGGAGAACCTGCTGCTCTGCGTGCGGGCCCTGGTGTCCGTGGGCCGAGAGGACTGCCGGGGGTGCGGCCCGCAGCTCATGCGGGTGCTGGTAGCTGTGATGGCGCTCGCGGGTGCCACCGGCCTTGGTGACGAGGTGAGCCTGCTGGGGACCCCTGCTTTGCCACGTGGGGATGGTGCCCAGCTCTGAACAGAATGGAACGTGTCAACCTCGCAAAGACGAGAGAGGAGTCCCTCGTGAGCGGGCCTCGGGGACACGGGATCTGCCTGGGCGTCTGCTGCAGAGAAACACGGGGAGGCAGGCGTCCTTGCCCGGACCTGCGGTTGAGCGTGGCCGGAACACACGCAACTGGAGGTCTGGAGGGAAGACAATGGCATGATTTTCCTCCTTAATCGCAGGCCAGCTGCGCTGTCCCGTTGGCCCGCATTTAGGCTTAAAATGCTGATGTCCCTTCCCCACGGGCCCGGGTGCCGCTCCGAGAGCCGAGACTGAGTGCTGAGCTGTGAGACAGGACCACGGGGCCCATTCGAGGAGGTGCACTTCCCTTAAACTGCATTTTAGTTTCTCTTTAAAGCCTCCTCTTCAGAGAGCAGTCTTAGCAGGCAGGTTGTCACAGTGAGGCCATAAATACAAGTGTCGGCCGTCAGCTAACAGCGTCTGCAGACAGACCCAGCCGGGCAGCTGCAGGGAGTCCAGGGCCATCCTGACAGTCCCCCCAGGAGAGGCAGAGGAGGGGCTGTGGCGGCTCGGTCTCCCCCGCCCCTCTGTCCAGGCAGCAGTTACTGTCCCCCAAGGTCTGTCAGGGTGGGGGCTGAGCAGAGAGGACTCCGGACCCTAAACGTAGTTTCGGTTCCAAAGGCCCTGGTTGCGCCCTCGTCGGCTCTGCAGGAGCATGCGGACGACTTGGGGGCGCTGGGGAGTCCCCTGTGCTCATGGACCAGGGCCCCGGGCTGCGTGTCCCAATGAAGGCACCGGCTCTGTGCCCCTCACTGCCCGTGGTGCAGCCCTCGGTCCCCGCACACTTCCCAAGGTCATACTCTCCTCCTCGGGGACCTGGCCACAGTTACCCTGGTCCTCCCGGCAGGTCACGGCCTGAGTGGGGCCCGAGCCGTGGGAGGACCTTGTCCCAGCCTGTGACTTGTCTTCCAGGTTCAGGAGGCCATGGACGCGCTGGCCGAGGTGGAGAGCGGCGGGGGCAGCCAGGACCTGTACCGCGCGCACCTGGGCGCCCTCCTGGAGTGGCTGGCTGAGTCCCAGCGGGACTGGACCGTGCACTCCCCCGAGCTCCTGCAGTTCATTGTGCTGGTTGCCCACGCAGGTGAGCCCCCCGTGAACCCGAGTGCCCACGCAGGTGAGCCCCCCGCCCGTGAATCAGTGCCCACACAGCTGCAGTGGGCTGAGGTTACTGTTTTCAAGTTACTCGTCGCCTCTGCCGCCTGGAAGAGCAGGTGTCTTTCGGGGCAAAGCCTTGGTTTTTGAAATGCTGAGGTGTCCGGCGGGGGGCTGGCAGGTGGCCAGCAGGTGTGACCAGGGCTCCTTCGCTGTGCGCGGCTCCGCACAAGCAGGTCGGAGGCCGAGTGTGGCGGCGGGAGCCCCGGGGTCCAGCCTTCCCGACAGGCTCCCCGGGGCTCCCAGCTAGGCCTCGGCCTGGACGAGCGGTGTTGAGCTCTGGCTCTCTGGAGCGCACACCTCAGTCCCAGTGAGGGTCTCGGAAGAAGCGTCAGCCGTTTATCGCAGCCGGGGCGGGCAGAGTGGGCTTGCAGTTGTGAGTATGCGGAACCAAGTGTGTTCTCGTAGTGTTAATATCATATCGTTCTCTGTACAAACAGCTGAACCTACTTTTGCCCACCCGTGTGGCCGGTCCTTTTCCAGGTGGGTGGACAGGTGTGGGGCAGGTCAGCTTGCCTTCCACGAGCTTCACAGCTGCAGGCTGCCCTGGCCTCCTGCCCCTCCCCACCGGGGCGGCAGGTGCTGCGCAGCTCCGGGTGTGAGGCCCCGCTGTGCTGTGGCTGGGCACTGTGCTGCTGGGTCGTTGTCCCTGGACCGTGCCCACCACCCAGAGACGGTTCAGCTCGGGACCCGGATGCCGCGAGGCCCAGAAGAACCCAGAGGTGTTGCTGTGCAGCCCGGCAGCCTCACCCGAGACCCTCCCCAGGCCTCCTGCTGAGCCGCTGTGCTTGGTTCCGGGGTCTGCAGACGTCTCCCCGGCAGCTTCCCGGTCAGGTTGCTCCAGTCCGCAGAGGGGATGCTGGGCAAGCACGTCCTGCAAGGCCAGCCTCGGTTCTTGGCAGGAGAGCCAGGGTTTGAGTTCGCTGCCCCTGGGGTGGTCTCAAGTCTACTGTTCCTAGTTGCCGTTTTATTTATTTTTTAAATCCTCACCAGAGGATATTTTTCTATTTATTTTCAGATATAGTGGGAGGGAGGAAGAGCGAGAGAAACATCGATGTGAGAGAGACATAGACTGGTTGCCTCCCGCACGACCCTGACCAGGGCTGGGGGCCAGACTGCATCCGAGGCACATGCCCTTGGCCAGAATCGAACCTGTGACTCTGGTCTGCGGGCCAGTGCTCTAACCGCTGAGCAACACCGGCCCTGAGTCCTGAAGGGTTGGGACCTGCCTTCAGGCCCTGGGCATTGGAGGAAGGACGCCAGACAGGCCCTGACGGGGTGCAGGGGACAGGGCCGGGTGTCCCCTAGGGGACCCCACTCAGACCGTCCGTTCCGTGAGCCCACCGGTCAGGCCACCAGCTGCGCCACACTCGGGCACCCGCCCTTCACGCTCCAGCCCTCGGGTGTGGTGCTTTGGAGGTGCTCACCTCGGAGTGTGAGCCCCTCTGCCAGCTGCCCTCAGAGTCGTCACAGCGCCAGCGACCGGGTTCAGGATGACCTTTCTCGTCCAGGCAGCGAGCCGGCTGTTGGCACAGCGCCTGGCATGGGGGCGGCCCTGTGACTCCAAGCTGGTCTGCCCAGTAGGGTTCTGGGGGTCCCCCAGCACCGAGCGCCGTTGCCAGTGTGAGGCCCTCGCATGGCATCCGGGAGTCACACTCCTGCTGCCCGAGCGGCAAGTGTGGGACAGAAGGTGGCTGCCAGGTTCGGGGCAGACACTGAACAACGTCACGTCCTCAGGGAACGGCCTTGGCTGATGCACAACATTGCTCGGCTCTGACTTCTTACAACAGCCCGGCCAGTGTGGCTCAGGGAGCTGAGCGTCGTCCCCTGGACTGAGAGGTCCCGGTTCGATTCCCAGTCAGGGCACAGGCCCGGGCTGTGGGCCCAATCCCCAGTCGGGGGCGTGCAGGAGGCGGCCGATGGATATTTCTCTCTCTAAAAATTAACAAAAATACAAAAAAAGAATTGGAGAAAATACAAGAAAGTAGAGAGTTTGCAGAGTGAATGACTGGAGCGATCGGGGCTCAGTGTTCTTGGTTCCTCTTCGGTCATCTCGTCCACCAGAAGGGCCCACCCCTCCTGCAGCCGAGAGTGCCCGTCTCGTGCCCAGGCTGCCACCCACGGCTGCTCCTGTGTTCCAGGCCCGGCTCTCGGCGAGGCCCTGCCCCTCCTGGTCCCCGTCCTCCGGAGCTGCCTCCAGCCAGACCGAGACCCGCAGCTGCGCCTGAAGGTCTTCTCCGCCCTGTCCCGGGTGCTGCTGACCGCACGGGAGACCGTGGACTCCCAAGGGTATGTGGGCTCCACCTCTGCGGCCGCCCCACGCTGTCCGAGTGGGGGGCACCCCCTCCCCCACCCGGAGGTCCCTGGACTCCTGTCCCAGGGTGGGTCCTCTCCCCCCCCACACACACACAGAGGGCCCCGACTCCTCTCCTGGGGTGGTCCCCCTCCCCGCCCCTCCCCCACGCAGCGGGCAGACAGTGAGGTCGGGCAGGGAGGCACGGAATCGAGGTTGCTTTATGTGGTCATTAAAACTCCACCGAGTGAAGAAGTTTCAGGGAACATTAACTATTAATGGTTCATCTATTAGCTGTTCTCAGTTTTAAAAGCCTCTGGTACCTCTCAAGCCTAACAGGATCGATCGAATGGCCGTGGCTGGTGGGAGCCTCCAAAGGGCCTTAGGTAGCACTGTGGGGGACGGCCCCGGCTGGGGGCTGTGAGGCGAGGGAGGGGCGAGCCGGCCAGCGGACCCCAGGGCCCTCTGTGACGCCCGCAGGACTGGGTGTGGGCCGCGGGCCTGTCTGGCTCCGGGCGCGTGAGCTGTGGGGACCGTGCCCCAGATGGAGCCAACGCAGCCGAGCCTGCGGAGCCGCGTGACGTTCCTGCGGGGTGCGGGGCGTCCAGACTCCCCCTGTGGGTGTTCCCGCTGGGCCTCTAGCCAGACCCCCTCGTCAGGAGCTGGGATTTCCTGCTGGTCCACGGACACTCGGGCTGAGGCGGGACCTAATGACACGCTGAGCGCAGCCCCAGCCGTGTCCTGGTGGGATAGCCCGAGGCCTGCCACCCCCAAACCTGCGCTCGGCCACCCCGAGCCCCGCAGACCAGCTACCGGGTGTGGACGAGGTTCTCGGCCTGTGCCAAGCGTCACACTGGGAGGAGCCCGTGCGGGGGGAGGCCTTCGATTAGGGGCAGAAGCGCCGTGTTCACAGGCAGGGAAGAGAACAGAACAGCACCCGCTTGGGCAGATCGGCCGGCAGCCCGCTCGTCACTGGCACAGACAGTCGCGTGTCCCCTTGCCGGCCGGCTGGCTCCTGCGCCGGCGTCTCCCCCATGTCGACCGAGCTCCGGGAGAGCAGCGAGGACACAGGGTTCAGGATGAGCATGGCTGTTTGCAGAAGACCCCCCTAAGTTGGAGTGGCCCCTTTGTGCAAAAGGGGTGCTCTTTAGCAGTGCTCAGAACAGGAGCCCGAGCAGCGCCCCCGGGGCTGGGTTTTCTGCCTCGTCCCAGGCCCTGCGCAGCCCTGCGTCTTCCAGGCCCAGTGGAGCCACGCTCCCCGCCTGTCAGCGCCTCGGAGGGCCGCTCTCCTCAGGCCAGCGCTTGGCCCTCCAGCTCTTCAGCCACGTCAGGGGGCCGCTCGGAGGACAGGACGCAGGGCGGAGCCTTTCCAGAGAGAGAGCCGCTGTAAACCACTCCGCAGGGATCCGCAGCTTTCTGCTTAAAGATTAAAGCCCATTGAAACCAGGTCAATCATCCCCACCGAGTGCACTGCAGACCTGCTCCTGGCATTCATCAGAGCGCCCCCTGCTGGGGCCCTGGCCCTGCTCCGACAGTCGGCACCCCGGGCTCTGAGCTGCTGGGGTCAGATGGGGGCCACCTTTGTAATGTACTTTGTAGTGATGCTGGGAGAGAAGTTAATGAGTCACTTGTTCAACAAAATATGTTTTGATCTCTGAGCAGGGGCCCATGGGCGCAGGTGACCCGTCAGCCATGCTGGGTCTGTCTGGGGGGTGCTGCGTGGGGAGCTGGTGCCCTGCAGGGCACCGAGCCTTCAGGTGGCGGCTGGGTTCGGGTGGGTTTGTCTTGCTGGCATGTCGGTGTGGTTGGCCACCACCAAGTGTCCCCTGCTGACCTGGTGGGGACGTCCGCGTGTCCCTGTCATTCAGGGTCCCTGGGCCTGGACACGCAGCGTCCTTGCTGAGGTGGGGTGGTGTGGGAGCGTTAGGGTTAGGGTTAGGGTTAGGCCTGTGGGTGCTCCTGGTGACGTGTCTCAGTGAAGCTCAGGCCTCCTCGGGGCCAGAGGAGGGACGGGGAGGCCCGTCCACAGCAAAGGGGTCCCGGGCCCCAGGGTTCTCTGGGTTCAGGACCCACCGCTGCCCCAGGAGAGGCAGCAGGAATGCGGGGACTGCCACCGGCCGTGAGGCCACCTCCCCAGGAATGCAGGGCCCCCACTTCCAGCTCCACTCCTGCTGGTGCTGTTGGGCCTCTTCCCTCTGCCCACTTCTCAGGGAGATGCCTCCTCCTCCGAGCGGCGGCCCCTCACCTGCTCCTATGCTTCCTCCCCAGGCAGTTTCACTGCTACCTCGACACCGTGATAAAGGACATCTTGGTCCCCAACCTGCAGTGGCATGCGGGGAGGACGGCGGCTGCCATCCGCACGGCCGCGGTGTCCTGCCTCTGGGCCCTTAGCAGCAGCGAAGTCCTTTCGGCCACACAGGTCAGCCTGGCGTCCTGGGCCCCTGCGGGGCTGAGGGCTGCACCCTGGTCCCCCTGGGTCCCCTCGGCTGCAGCGTGAAGGCGCCGCGCCGGTCCAGGGTTCCTCGGAGGTGGGGAGGGGTCCTGGGGGAACGTTGGTGGGTGCAGGGTCTGGGCGAGCGTTGGTTTCCTTTGGTCGTGGTGGGGGCCTCTGCAGGGTTCCATGCGGGGGTCGCTCTTTACGAGACAGATTGTGATGGCAGGACCCAGCCAACTGGCCGCTGCGGCTCCCGCGCGGTCTCCTCAGCTAGCACGGGGCGAAGGGAGCAGCAGGAAGGGGAACCGTGTTCGCTGTGCTCGCCCGCACGGCTCCGCCTGCACACTAGTGGCTGCGACGTGCTGCACTGTCCCCGGGTCTCCTCGGACCCGGCGCAGCAGGCCAGTGGCAGCGAGCTCTGCGGGATTGTCTCAGGAAGACGGTGAACAACGACCTTATGAACCAACTGACCAAGTTACACAAAACGTTCAAATCATCTAGATGTTAGAATCCAGTGTCCAGTCTGTTCATGTAGAAATTTCAAGCCATTGTGTCTGTGTCAAACCGTCGCCATGGCCACCTCTGCCTGCAGGTCCAGGCCGCCCGGGAGACGCTGATGCCCCAGGTGCTGACCACCCTGGAAGAAGACTCGCAAACAGCCCGATTGGTCTCGTGCCGCATCATCCGCCTGTTTTTAAAAACCCCTGGCGGCGCCATGGATCCGGATAAATTCATCAGGATCTATCCCGGTAGGACGCTTTTGTTTTCCAGAACTCGGGTGGTCTGACAGCTGTCTCTTCCGTAGGGAGGTTAGCAAATGCTGCTCTGACTTCTGGTCAGGCTGGTGCTGAGGCCCAGCAGCAATGACGGTCAGTGTCGCTGACCAGCAGGAACAGGGCCGGTGGGGCCGAGGCTGGGTCCCAGCAGCAGGGACCCTCGCCGCCCGAGTGTGGCCAGGCCTGGGCGAGGCGCGTGCCGCCCGTGACGTGACCCCTCAGGGTCACTGCCTCTTCGGAGCCAGAGCAGCAGACGAATCCCAGGGCAGAAGCCAGACCGCACCCCACCACACAGGTCCCTGGAAGCAGGGAAGCTGTGTGAGGGAGGAGCCAGGACCCCCACCCTGCAGCGGGGTGTACACCCCTCAGGGTTCTCTTTTAAAATGTGTTCAAGACCCTCAGAAAGACGGGAATAGTGTCCATTAAAAACAAAGCTGCGGTTCGAACAGCACGTGGGACTGGGGAGCAGTCGTGGGAAAGGACCCACTGGAAGTGTGGGTGAGGACGGCACCACGGGGGGTGCACGGCATCCTTCTGTTTCTTACTCCGGTGCTCACCGCGTCTGTGCTTCGTGCACCAGGGTTCGTAGTAGAAGGTGGTTTTAAGAATTCCTGGGAATGAGCAAGTCACTGAAATGTAAAACTCAGCACTGGATAAACACGCCTGGTAAATGGGAGGCTGAACCTCCTGAGAGAACTCGTGGACGGAGGCGGTGGCCTGTGGCCTCTGGCCCCCTGCCAGGTGTGGGCCACTGCTCCTGCCCAGCCAGGTCCCCTGCACTCGGCGTGTGCTGGTTGCCTGCTGTGTCTCCAGAGGACACCGGTGTTGCAGGCCGGAGAGTTCTCGTAGATCACGTGGGACGAGCCTACACTAGACAGAGGTCTCACGGGTGAAGGTGCAGAGTTCCTGCCCCGGGGAAGGCCGGTGGCTCGTTTTGGGCAGAGCAGCCTGGTGCTGGAGGCTCGACGGACAGACTGGCTCGGGGTGGTGTCATGTCACTGGGCCCTCGGAGGGCAAGGTCAGCTGACGCCCCTCCCGCCTGGGCCACCTGGCAGTTGTGGACAGAGCGCACAGGAGCTCGGGCCCAGCCGCTCGGCACAGGAGGACCTTGGACCCGCATCTTGCATGTGGCCCTGGGTGCAGGCGTGGTCTCCAGGGCCCAGGGGACACCTGCACAGCACCTCAGCCCCACCCTCTACCCTCCCTGCAGAGCTCCTGAGACGGCTGGACGACGTTTCCCGCGAGGTGAGGCTGGCGGCGGCCTCCGCCCTGGCCGCCTGGCTGGAGAGCCTCAGGGACGACGGCCGGAAGCCCTGCTGCCAGAGCGACGTCCAGCACCTGTACAGGGAGCTCCTGGTGCACCTGGATGACCCCGACAGCGCCGTCCAAGACGCGGTCTTGGGTAGGTGTCGGTGACCTCTGGTTGGCTCTGTGCCTGTGCTGGGGGCAGTCACTGCTCTGCGTGGCCGAGCTCGGCTCGGGCCACAGGCACAGCAGGCAGGGCGGGGCCTCAGGCCACGGTCTCGGGGCCCTCTCTACTCAGAGTCACTGGACACCCCAGAGGATGCTGGTCTTTGTGAGGCCAGTGATGTGCACTGTAATAGACATTTAAATCGAGCAGTTTTTTTTTAATCCTCACCCGAGGATACTTTTCCATTTATCTTCAGATAGAGTTGGAGGGCGGGGCGGGGCGGGGTGGGGTGGGGGGTGGGGGGGAGAAACATTGACATGAGAGACACACCAGTTGGTTACCTCCCATACGACCCCAACCAGGGCCAGGACCAAACTACAGCCGAGGTACGTGCCCTCAACTGGCATCAAACCTGCGACTCTGTGGTCCGCGGGCTGACGCTCTAACTGCTGAGCCAAACCAGCCAGGGCTAAATTGAGCAAATTTTGAGATGTTTATTAATTTGCTTAAAATAACAGGAAGCCTGTTCCGTGTTAACATAAATACCATGTTTTTGAAATATGTATTTTCCAAAACAAAACACTAGCACGAAGGGTATCGCTGTCTTACGTTCCCTTTGCTGTGCAAGAAGTTCTAGTTTGGCCCTGGCCGGTTTGGCTCAGCGGTTAGAGTGTCAGCCTGCGGTCCTGAGGGACCCGGGTTCGGTTCCCGCTAAGGGCACGTACCTCAGTTGCAGTTTGTCCCCGGCCCTGGTTGGGTCGTGTGGGTGGCAACCACTCGACGTGTCCCTTTCACGTCGATGTTTCTCTCTCTCTCTCCCTCCCACACTCTATCTGAACAAAAAATAGAAAAAATGTCCTCGGGTGAGGATAAAAAAAAAAAAGAATCCTTTTGCCCTGGCCAGTTTGGCTCAGTGGTTGAGCGTCGGCCTGCGGACCAGAGAGTCCCGGGTTCGGTTCCCGCTAAGGGCACATACCACAAAAAAATAAAATAAAATAAAAAATAAATAAATAAATAAAAAATCTAAAAAAAAAAAAAGAAGAAGAAGTTCTAGTTTGATGAGGCCCCGTTTGTTTTTCTCCTGTTGCCGAAGAGACAGACCCAGAGAGGCAGTGCGGGGAGCCCGCTGCCCGGCTGTCTTCAGGGTTCAGGGTTCCAGGTCTTGCATTTGGTCTTCAGTCCACCTGGAGTTTGCTCTCGTGTGCGGAGAAGGACTGAGCTCACGGTTTTGCACATGCCTGTCCGGTTTTCCCAGGAGCACGCACTGCGGGGCCCTTCACCCCACAGTGTGCTCCTCCCCCCCCCCGTCACTGGCTGACGGCAGACGAGGGTTCGAGTCTGGGCACTCTGCCCTGTTCCATGTCTGTTCCGTGCGACCCGACTGCGCTGATTTCCGTGCCTTGTGTTGGTGTGCGCGCCCTGGGCTCTGAGGGTGTTTGCTGTCTTGCAGAGGTCCTCACGGCGGGCAGTGCCCTGTTCCCCGACCTCCTGGCACGGGAGACCGAGGCCGTGGTTCATCAGCACCGCTCCCCCACCCGCTGCGAGCAGCTCCTGCAGCACCTGCAGGCCAGGCCGCCCGCCCAGTGAGCGGGGTCGGGGCAGGGCCGCCGGTGCCACCGCGTCCCGGGCCAGGGCTGTGGCCTTCGCCACAGGGCACCGTGTGTCAGCAGCCCGGGACCAGCCATGGATGCACGCCCTGAGGAGAGCGCCCATCATGCCCCTGCGCGGAACACGCCCCGAGCGGCTCCGCCTTCCCGCGTCCTGCGCAGACAGCCCATGGAGAGCTGCCAAAGCCGACAGCTAATCTGAGGTTAAGACTAAATGTCCGCTGTGCACACTGGCAGCCAGACCCGCCCGTTCACTCTGTCTGAGGCCGTGGACACGGCTGCGCAGGCCGACTGGCTCCGTCTCGCCCAAAGGCCCACCGAGGACATTTGTCACCACTAAGAAAAGCCAAAGGGATTGAAAAGAAGTTTAATTCTTTCTTGGGACTCTGTCCACTGACAGTCTCTCAGTGAACAGACTAAAAGGAATCTGAAATCCTAAGAACTGTTATCAGTGACATTTTCCCCATTTAAAATACACGGGACGTAAACCGCTCTGTGATCTGACCAGTCAGCATCTTTCCTTGGCGTTGAAAACGGGCAATTTCATCCGTGCAGGCTGCTCTCATTCACAGCAGCACAATGCTTCCTCCTCGAGCCCCTTCCGCACCCAAGTGCCTCATATTTCACGTTCAGTGGTTATTATTTCCATAAGCCAATACTGTGTATATGTTAACACAAGGGAAAATGATATATTTTCCAACAATCAAATACTAAAATTTATGCTTTGGTGTTTGACTTAATTAAAAATATTTATTATAATTATCTTGTATGCCTGTCTTTTTGTGTTTTGACAATTATTGACATTTTTAGAAATCATTCCTTTTTTCCTTAAATTTAACCTTCAGGGGAAGCCAGCCAGGAGAATCCTGGGCGGGATGGAGGGGGCTGCCACAGCTCGTTGTAGTGCCCTCTCTGGACACCAGGGGGCAGGCGCTCCCCGAGAGGATCGCAGCAGCCGCAAGGCTGCCCTGGGCTTGCCTTGGAGAGGCTGGGGTGTTGGGATGGGGGGGCACAGACCTGGAGAAGGGGGTGGGATCTGAGTCTGCACCACAGACTTGGGTCGCAGCAGTCCAGGCCCCACGGGGGTACGTCCCACCTTCACTGACGTCACCCTTCTGTGTCCCTCTCTGAGCCCAGTGTCTCTGACCCATGGCTGCAGGGATGTAGCAAACCCGCAGGTGTAGTGTTGCTCAGGTATTGGTTCCCGAACGGCCTTTGCCTTCTGTATCCTCTGCCTTTTCCTTCCTCGTCGTCACCTGGAAACCTGTTAGAAATGCCCCACACCCTGAGTCAGACGGGGTGGGGCCCAGTGGTCAGCCCTCCAAGGGACCCTGATGCCCCTGAGGTGTGGGGCCCCCTGCGCTGAGCGCCAGGCGTTTTCACGTCCAGTCTGAAGCGCCATCTTCTGTCTTTGGCCACTAGATGTCACAGGAATCGGAACTGCAGGTACCTGGTTTGCTGATGGTTGCACGTGTGTGTGTGTGTGTGTGTGAGTACCTTCAATTATTTGGGGTAACCATATAGGACAGACATGCTAGTCATAGTGGATGTATATTTAAGTTGGGTTTTTTTAATAGAGACTTGATTTTTTTTTGTTAATCTCACCAGAGGATATTTTTCCATTGATTTTTTAGAGTGGGAGGGAGGGAGAGAGAGACACACATTGACTGGTTGCCTCCCGCATGACCCTGACTGGGGCCTGGGATCGAACCTGCAACCCAGGTACATGCTCTTGACCGGGAATTGAACCTGTGACCCTTCACTTCTCAGGCCGATGCTCTAAACCAGTGGTTCTCAACCTTCCTAATGCCGTGACCCTTCAATACAGTTCCTCATGTTGTGGTGACCCCTAATCATAAAATTATTTTCGTTGCTACTTCATAACTAATTTTGCTACTGTTATGAATCGCCATCGGAAATGTGTTTTCTGCTGGTTTTAGGCGACCCCTTTGAAAGGGTTGTTCGACCCCCAAAGGGGTCGCAACCCACAGGTCGAGAACCGCTGCTCTAATCACTGAGCCAAACCAGCCAGGGCAAGTTTTTAAGAAATTGCCAAACTTTTCCAAAGTGATGGAACCATTTATATTCCCATCAGCACTGAGTCCTGTCTCCCCCATTTCAGCATTCGATGCATGAATCTAATGTTGGCTCATCTGACTGGCGTGTGGTGGTGTCTCAGTGTGGTTTCGCGTTACATGTCCCTGCTGTCCAGTTATGCTGAGCATCTTTTCATGTGCTCATTTGCCATTTATAGATCTTTGGTAAAATATCTTAAAATCTCTTGCCCATTTTTAAAATATTTATTTTCTTATTGAATGTGAGAATTTATATATTCTAGATACAAGTCTTTTATCACATGTATGACACAAACGTTTTCTCTCATTGTGGAGTTTGTCTTTTCGTTCTTTTAACGATGTCTTTTGAAGAAGAGAAGTTTTCATTTTGAAAGGAGTCTAGCTTAACAATTTGTTCTTTTATGGATTGTGCTTTTGGTGCAGCATTTAAGAAATCTTTGCTTAACTGAGTTTCACTTCCTGAATTTTAACCTCAAAAAGTTATTTCATAAAGGTAATAAATTTGCCCTACCTACACCATGGTTCTAAGGCATCTTTTACTTCCTTTAAAAGTCTCTGTTCTGGCCCAGCTGATGTGGCTCAGTGGACTGAGCATCGTCCCACCGACTGAGAGGTCCTGGTTCAATTCCAGGTCAGGGCACACAGCCGGGTTTCAGGCTCGATTCTCAGTAGAAGGTGTGCAGGAGGCAGCCAATCAATGGTTCTCTCTTACATCAATGTTGCTATCTCTCCCTCCCTTCTTCTCTAAAAAAAAAAACAATAAAAACATTTATAAAAGTTGTCTTGCCCTAGCCAGGTGGCTGTTAATTAGAGCATTATACTGTACATCAAAGGGTTGTGGGTTCAATTCCCAGTCAGTGCACGTACCTAGCCCATCCCTGGTTGGGCCGCATGCAAGAGACAACCAATCAGTGTTCCTCTCTCTCTCTCTCTCCCTCCCTCTCCCTCTAAAATTAATAAAAACATACCCTCGAGTGAGGATTTTTAAAAATTGTCTTGTTGAAAACGTAAATGCAAAGACTTGTACCCTAGTATCCATCATGACTCTGTTCCAGCCCCAGACAGAAAATCCAAATGTTCATCAACAGCTCCAGGTGGTAAACCAGGCAGTGTATCCACAGTCATGTGCCACAGAAAGGAGCAGAGGCTACAGCACCCAGCGTGGCTGGGGCTCACGGACATCAGGATGGACCAGGCCGGGTGGTTAGGTGCAGTGAGGACCGGCGGAGATGTTCCACATTGAATCCACATGGGTGTTGACGGACCTGTTGCCCTCCTCTCTACTGTGTATGTGTGAACTTTGTCAACTTTTTCATAATTTCAAGTGCTTGAAGACACTCATCCGGCTGCTCTTGGAGGGCAGAGGTAAGAGTGCTCTCAGCCCGGTCGGTGTGGCTCAGTGGTTGAGCATCGACCCTGCACCAAGAGGTCGCTGGCTCGATTCCGCGCGGGGGGGGGGGGGGGAAGGCCCAGGTTGTGGGCTGAATCCCCAGTGGGGGGCGTGCCAATCAATGTTCTCTCTCATGGATGTTTCTATCTCCCTCTCCCTTCCTCTCTCTCTAAAAGAAAATCAATAAAGAGAATCCAGGGGGCTACCCCCTGGGTAAGACAAAAAAAAAAAAAAAAAGACAGTGTTCTCAGGGCTCTTCCAGATGGCAGAGGAGTGTCCCCTTGCGGCCAGCCTGAAAAGTAAATGCTTTCTAAAGATCTCCGTTCCCGCGTTTCCTATTTTCCTGGATTCTCTCGACAGCCAGTGCCCCCAGACACCCAGGCATCGCCTGTGCGGGGTGAGCTGTCCAAGAAGCGCCCCCTGGGTGCCACTCAGGGTGGTGGCTATGGACGGCATGTTCTTAATTTCTGTTTTCCAGACTTGAGTCGTGTATAATTTCGAGAGCATTTCACTAGGCTGCAGGCACTGCCGGCACCGCCGTTTGGGCTGGCACCTCGGAAGGGAGGCTGCGCCCGCTCTCTCGCAGGAAGCGCTCAGGCCCTCGTGCGCTCGGCCTGGCTCCCGGGCTCCGTCCACGGGCAGCCGGCGCCGGGAGCTGGCGGGACCGTGGCCTGGGAGCTGTCCGCGGGGCAAGAGCGCTTCCTCCTCGTCAGGCGCCTTCTTGTGTCTTACTGCCCGGAGAGGGGAGTAACTGGAGGAGGACCCCGCCTGCTCGGAAGCCTGGGGCTCCCTCGGACCCCGCCTGCTCGGAAGCCTGGGGCTCCCTCGGACCCCGCCTGCTCGGAAGCCTGGGGCTCCCTGGGACCCCGCCTGCTCGGAAGCCTGGGGCTCGCTCGGACCCCGCCTGCTCGGAAGCCTCGGGCTCCCTGGGACCCCGCCTGCTCGGAAGCCTGGGGCTCCCTCGGACCCCGCCTGCTCGGAAGCCTGGGGCTCCCTCGGACCCCGCCTGCTCGGAAGCCTGGGGCTCCCTCGGACCCCGCCTGCTCGGAAGCCTCGGGCTCGCTCGGACCCGGGCGGCACGTTCGCGCCGAGGACTTCGGGGGCGTCCTAGCGTCTCGGCTCCGCTAAGGCGGGCGCGGTGACCGGCGGGCCCGGCGCACGGCCGCGGTGCCACCCGCGGGCCCGACTTCTGCAGCCCGCACCCCTTCCTGGCCGGGCACTCGCGGGACACCCCACAAACCACGTGGGGACTCAACTCCACGATCAGGGGTCGCGCGCTCCGAGCCGCCCGTCCTGCGGGCACCCGGCCGTGCGGGCACCGACGGGCGCCTGGCGGCCTCGCCCGCACCAGCCCGCAGCGGGCTCGGCGCAGCCTCCTCGCCCCGACCCCTGACCGTCCGGCCGGGCCAAGCCGCGCGCACGCGCAGGGCCGACCGTCGATCCCAGCAGCCCCCGCGGCGCGGGCGCGGCCACGTGACCCGGGCCCCGCCCCCGGGCGCGGCGGGCATGCGTAGCTGCGCGCGGCGTCGCGGTCCGGCGGCGGGTGCGCCCCTGAGCTTGGGCGCGTGGGCGCCGCGGGAAGGAACCTCCGCGCCGCGCCGGGAGCTGTGCCCGCGGCTGTGCTGCCTGCGCCCGCGGGGCCCGAGGCCCAGCGCCCCGACCTCGTCCCGGCTCGGCGCCGTCGTGGTCACAGGGACGGCGGGGGCGGGCGCGGCGGCGAGGAGCGGGGCAGCAGGTGGACGCCAGGCCAACGCGAGACCTGCGGGCGGATGGGAAGAAGTTCGAGGCCGCAGGTGGCTGTGCTGCGGTCCCTCCCCAGACTTCACCGCCGAGGTCAGAGGGCACCTTCACAGCCGAGCTCGACCACAGCCCGACCCAGCGATCCGGGTGCAGCGCGTCCTGGCGGACGTGCCGGGGGTCACAGCCCGGCTGTGGTTTTCTTGCCCCAAATGCATCGCCTCAATCTAATCGTGGGAAGACCTCAGACCAACCCCAACAAGGACGTCCTACAAACGTGGCAGGCTCCGGGGGACTAGTTTGGGGGGACTGTCCCAGATTGGAGGGGTTACGGAGACACAGCTAAGTGCAGTGGCCAAGACCAGAAAAGGCCGTGAGTGGAAAACGAGCAATCGCAGGATGGAGAACACGTCCGTTTCCCCCAAACGTTTCCTTCCCAGTGAAACCGCACCGGGCCCTGGGCCACCAC